AGGGCATCTGTCTGCTCTGAATCAGAGCTGAATTCTAGTGCCTGCTCCCTGCCCACTGGCCACAAAGCCGCCGGCTGTTCTGCTTTCCCTCTTGTGCTTTCGAAGAATGCTGATAGGACTCTGCTTCATATCCCAGCAAGAAGGACAACAGACTTTGCAATGCTGACATTTTACCACTCTAAGGAAGCCTTGTTTTCTTACCAGTGTGGCCGAGAGGTTTGCTCAAAAAGAGGCATTGGTAAGTGCCATTGCTTCTCTGCCAGCTCTGCTTTAGCCTTGTGCTGCTCTCATATTCTCTTTTTTGGGATATAAATGCCTGGGTGTTATTAGATCCCAGCTGAACTGCACAACCCCCACTGGGCACCCCTTGTTCCCCTGTTATCTTTCCAAAAGAGCTAGGAGAAGTGTTCAGCCAAGCACTAATTGAGCCTGAGCTATGGCAGCGAGTGTTATGTGCTGGTGAACAAGGATCAACGAGCTGTGGCCTGGCTGAATGTGAGCCCCAGCCCTTGTTTCATCCCTTACCCTCTTAAGAGCTATGGACTGTGGCACCTTAATTCATTTTTTTTTCCTCCCTTCAGACAGATGCTTTCAAGATTTTGGAACATGTTTCATTAATTTAAATGGCATGTACTCTTCTTTCCTTCCGATGGGATGTGATGGTCACAGCAGCTTGTCTTTGGGCTTCACATCTTGAAGACCTGGTAGCAATCTTTTGATATCTAAAGGGGGGTGTAAGAAAGAAAGGGGACAGACTCTTAAGCAGCCTGTTGTGAGGGGAAATGGGGAAACGGATGTAAGGAAGAAACTTTTTACAGTAAGGGTGGTGAAGCACTGACACAGGTTGCCCGGAGAGGTGATGGATGTCCCATCCCTGGAGACACCCAAGTTCAGGCTGGATCAGGCTCTGAGCACCTGATCAAGATGTAGGTGTCCCTGGTCATTGCAGGGAGCTGAATTAGATGACCTTTAAGGATCCCTTCTGACACGATTCTATGAAGAAATGGATTCTCATTGGGATTGAAGTTGGAAACAGCCCACGCTGGCCATCCTACAGGATGGTGTTCTGCGGCGTCTCAGAGCTCCGTCTGGATGAGCTTTCAATTACCTACATGATGGGATTCCTCTTCCATCCCTTGGCAAGTTGTTCTGTGCTCTAAAATAAGCTTCACAAGCAGAGCTGTTCCACACAGTGTGAAGCCTTCCTGTTGTGAGGATCCATTATGTGTGCAGCATAATGAAGTGTGATGGATGTGGGGAGCAGCAGCAGCAGCCTTTCTTTCTGATGGCCAGCTTCTGCAGAGAAACAGAAGTGCCCTGAACTCTGTCTTTGGGACCCAAGGGACTTAACATCTTAGTTATGATACAGGCCTGCTTAACATTCAGCAGCCTGCACAGGCTGCAGGCATTCATCCTGGCGAAGTGGCAAAGTAGCTTAAGAAGTTCTTAGGATATCTCATTCAGGCCTTCAGGATGGAAGGGAAATCCTGTTAATATGCCCCTTTGGTGTTTTTGTTTTTTTTAGTGTTTTTCTTTCTCTTTTACTTCCCCTGTCAGCTCTGCAAAGGCATCTTTGAACTTACATGTGCAGCCAGATTTATTTTCTCAGCATGATCCGGACACATTTTGGCTGCACATTGCAGTATGCCTCAGTGGTTAGAAATCAGCAGCAGACAGAATGTAGCACTGGGAAGCCATGTTGGTTTGATGTCTCTTGCACTAGATGTTTTCTTTCTTCTTTTGTGACAGAAGAAATAGCCCTTTCTATTAAGAAAAGAGATGCTTCACCACCAGGTCCAGGCCAGTGCAAAGCCATTATGGAGAAATCAGACAGCAAGCCTGGATATGAGCGAGCACAGGGGCTAGGTGCCTTTCATCTATTTCCTCTCTCCCTATTTATAGAACATGGGTGAAGCAACTGGGATCTGTGTCCTTGTTTTGTAGTGTCTCTGCCTGGCTGGTAATACAGAGCTGAACCAAAGTCAGGTTTTGATTCCGATAGGAGCTTGCAACACTGTTGAGAAAGGAGTGGGCTTGGCTCTCCCTGAAGTCTGAAAGCACTTTTAATTGCATGCTGTCTTTGCTATAGCAACTAAAAATATGTTTATTGACAGTGTTGCTTTTGTTATATTCTTGGAGAGCATTCCCTGATGGTCCCATCCAGTGTTAACTCTTGGGACACATGCTACTAGCGAGGCTTGCTGCGTGATTGCTGTCTCTGAGGGAATAATGTTTGTACAGTCATTAATGAGGGACAATTACAGGTAAGACGTGAGCTGACTACATGGGGTTTGAACCCTTTGGGTGGGTGCTTAGGAGATGAGCTAACTGCTATTGGGACTGAAACTTTACAATGCCTTTTTTAGTTTTAAAAAGAAGGTGCTGGCTTTGAAGTCAGCTTGACGTTGTTTTCAGCATGGATCTTCTGGTCTTCTGCACCTTGAAATCAGAGCAGAAAGGGGCTGGCTTCCTCTTTATCTTTCTCTCCTAAATAAAAACACATTGCTACTTTCTGAGCCAGCAAAGTTCAGGTTTTTTTTTTTCTTTTCTCAAAATAGCCAATGATCCGGCAGGGATTTTGTTTGGACCATGCTATGGGAATTCCATGATCTAGGGCTCGAGGTGATTTTGTTCTGTGTCTGCTTTAGGACAGTGTTTTACTTCTGCTGGATTTTGGTTTGCAGGGACATGATTCATGAGTGAATTTGGCCCCTTTCCCAGTGCAAACTCAGCATCTTATAAATAAATAAGTAAATAACCTGCAAGTATCGAGAAGCCTGGCCATAAATATTTCAGCAGAAAGCAATATCCACCCCCACCTACCTTCATCTGGCTCTGCCACAGGTGCTTGGTTCAGCGATTGCAAGTCACAATGCTGTGTTTCCATCATGATCCATTTCAAAGGTCTGCAGTAGACGTGGGCCCATGTATGTGCCACCTCTCAGTGTGTGTTTGGGAAGACATGGTGTTCCAGCATGGCTTTCCAGTATCCCTAGATGCACTGTCAGGTATGTAAATGTGACAGCTCCAGGGCCTGAGCCAACTTTTTCCTAAAGAATTGAAGAGTACACAAATAGCATTGCCTGGACTCCGCTGAATTCTGTCTTAAAGGCTAATGAAGTAAAGGAGATCATTGGAATAGATCTTCTTCTACCCAGTGTTCTCTGGCCATTTTGGCTGAACGCGGTGCTGTGGTTCAGCTTTGGTCCCACCGCAACGTGGAGGTGCAGTGAGAGCACCAAATTTGTTTCTGGTCGGAGAGCTGAAGCCACAACAAAGCCAGGACTTTCTCTATGAAATGCTGCAGCAGTGTGTTGCAATGCAGCTGATAAAAGCTCACTGGTCCCAATTGTTGAAAAAAGGAAAAAAAAATCTGGATAAGTATCCTCTTACAGGCTTCATGCCTGGATATTAATATGCATCATCAGGGCTGTGGCATCATTTTTCTGCTGTTACACCCCGAAGAAGGATGTACTCTGATGAATGAAGTAAACCTTCCCTTGGTGAAGCTTGTGAGACCCCTATAAGGAATCACTGCTGGGGAAGCAAGAACTGAGGCCCAGCACACACCATGCATAGCAGCACTACAGCTCAGCTTAAGCACAGCAAGAAGTGGATAAGCTGTTGTGTCCTGCTAGAAGCAGGGATGAGTTCTAAGCACCTGCAATGGGTGAGGTGGCTCCTAGATGCAGTTGGGATGAATGCACAGAAAAACATACACAGAATTTACCCAGGACGCGCAGATGCTGTCAGATTTGGCTGAAATCAGCCAATGTACTCAAAAACTGAACAGGGCCAAGCAAGACAGGATTTGACTGACAATCAAATCAAATTTGACAGACAAATCATTTCCTTAGGAAATGGGACTAAAAATAGGAGAGGAACACAAGGGAAACTTCTTGACACCCCCCTCTACAGTTGGGTTTTTGTCCTGAAATCTGAGGTTTGGAGCTCTTGCTGATGTCTTCTGGGCTCCAGATGGAGTCAAGCTGCAAATGTGGTTCCTGTGAGCACTGGAGTAGTGCTGGAGGAGCACGGACTGATGCAGGGAAGCACGTGCCAGCTTGTCATGGTAAGAGCAGCATAAGTGCAAAGACAATGGAGCTGGGCTCAGAGGTTGCAGGGCAGGAGCACCATGTAGAAGCTATAGCAGCAATTATCACCTCAGTGTTTTGTATCTCCACTTGCTTATTTCCCTTGTTTTCCAGTGCCCTCTTACCGATGAGAGCTTCAATGGCTGCCACTCTTCTATCTTGGTAGCAATCTTTAGGAAACCCTTCTTCATGTTCAAGGCCAGAACACAGTTCTTGGGTCTGTGCATGCACCAGTGCTGTTCAGCTTCACCACGCTTTATGGGCTGTAAATATCTTGTTTTGGGTTACCTTGAGCGCATGTGACCTGGGTTCCACTGTAGGCGAATTCACCAGAGTTTATCAGGCAAAGAGCGGCCCATGTGAGGGTTGAGGAAAGCCTTTGGAAGGGAGGCTGGAGCCCTAGAGTGGACTTTGACTGCCCCACACTTTCTCGTTTCTGTTCTGGAGTTTTAGCGCTACTGTCACCTGTGCCGTCCATGCAAGCGGCATTCTGGAGTTTGCTGAAGGTGGCCGAGATGCTGCGGGGCTTTTCCCTCCTGCTTACCCACAAGCCTAGCAAACGGGAGTTGATCGTTAACTGGGGCTGAGGAGAAGGAGGAGGAGGAGGAGGAGAAGGAGGAGGAGAAGGAGGAGGGGGAGGTGAGCATCCCCCAGCCCGCCTGCACCCAGCCCTGCCCGGCCCCTGGGGCGGAGCGCGGAGCTCCGAGCTGCTGAGCGCGGTGCTGCGAGGGACGGAACGCGGAGCTCTGAGGGACGGAGCCCCGGGCCCGGAATGAGCTTCCCACGGCCCCTGCGGCGCTCCGTCAGCCTGAGCCCTGCCCGAACGCTGCGGCTCGTCGTGCTGGGGCAAGGCGCCGTGGGCAAGACAGGTAGGACAGGGAAGAGGGTCTCCTGTAGGGATTGGGGCGGGATGGGGAGTGAATTCCTCCAGAATTGCCTTCCCTAGCAGCTTGGGTTTGGTTTTCCTTCCTGCGCTTTGCCCTGCTCTCCCATTGCGAGGATTTAGGGCAGCCCTTCACCCAGCCGGGACTGGCAGTTCTCTTTGCAGCACTCAGGTCTGCCGGAGCACAGCCTCCCCAACCAGCTCTGGAGATGACACTGGGGCTGCCGTGTCCTTGGGTGACAATTTCCTCTCTACCAAGGCACAACCTCTAAAACTGTGCAGTGGTGGCACCTCCGCTGGGCTTACTGCCAGCTGTCAGGGCTGTCCGAGTTGCGTTTCCATATACAGTAACCAGCCAGCCTCTTGCTTTCCTCTTTCCTTGTGTTATCAAAAAAAAATATATCACAATTTCCCCCTCTTGCCCTGAAGGGAGATCTTGATAAAGATCAGGAACTTGCAGTTCTAGAAATCAAAGGGAATATTAAAGTGAAATGCCTAACGAAGGACTCCCCAGGCCTGGCGCTCTCTGTGGGGAAGTAAAAGCACAATTTTCTTACCCACCTCTGCTGCATTCACCTGGATGAACCCAGCTGGGAGCAGTTCTCTGCTCTCCAGAGCAAGTTTCTTAAAGTTCTGGTCTTATGGGAAGGTGTTGCAGCAGCTCAGGCATTTCCATCCTTGTATCCCAACCCCCTGAGGAGGGTTGAGTTTGGGTACAGGTCTGTGGATGAACCCCATTGGTAGCTCCAAGATTAAAACCAGCATAAATCACCCAAGGGAGGCTGGAAGTGCAGCCCTTCCTTGAGCTATCTGCTGCCTTCTGCTGCTGATCCCAGTGTAAACTTCAGAGGGAAGCTCTGCTTACAGAGTGCCAACTGAAGATGGATTGGTACTATAAAGCTTATGAGAGGGTGTACTGTGCAGCAGGACAAATGCTCAGCACATGGCTGCACGGAGCTGTGGAAGTGGCTGCAACACAGCTTGGTCATGCATCACAGCATCCCCTTTGTCATCGATAAAGACCAAATTATCCTTATCTGCACTGGGGTTCTCAAAAGAGAGCCCTCTCTGAGGTTGTTTATGTTCAAGATGGGGGGAAAAATAATGCTTTATATGGGTGGTTGGATGTGCTTGCACCTTGCTGCCTTCATCTTGAAGGGCAGCTTCTGGGTTCCTCTGAGCCAATTTCTAATTCTCTTACTGGCTCCTCTACCTGTCCAACACCACACTCTCCTGCACTGAGTGGCTGCTGAACATAATGACATGGGATCAGGTGCTTCCTAGAATTCAGGACTGCTGTGCCTCAGTTTTCCCCAACCATTCAGGTCCCACCTGAAGGATGCTGCTGCACACCTCCTGTGGGATCCTTGGTTATCCCAGCAGAAAGCAAACATCACCTCGGTGTGGGAGCACATCAGTTCTGCTTCCTGCAAGCTTTACATCAACATCTTGCCTTCAGAAGAGTTTAATGCCATATTCTGGGTTTGGTGTGTTTCATGCTCCCTTTGCTGCCCTTGCTCTGTTTTTTTCTCCTGCTGTGCTGATGTCTGGCATGCAGCCTCCATGTCCTGCCTCTCTTGGGGCTTTTTATTTGTCCTGCCCTCCGTTCCTACACATTTTCCACTGATTTCACTTTCTGCTCCCATTGCCTCTCTCGCCACCTCTTGCTCCTGTCCATAATCATTACCATCATAACCTACTTGAAGTGCTAAAGTCACTCACATCAGCCCTGCTCCTTCAGCCTGCAAACCACTTCTCTGCCCACACCAGAAAATATACCAACAGTGTATTTTCAAAGATACTGCCTACAAAAGGCAACATTGACTGGTTTGCTTCGTCCACCTGCAGCTGGGGGCACATGGATTGGATCTGAGCAAGCTGCCTTGATGAATACAGGTGACAAGGGTGAGGAGAAAGCCCATGCTGTGTTTGGATGGCCCTTCAGCATCAGGAGACCTCAGCCAGCCATTTAAGTGTAATTTTGGGCTTCGCATCTCCCTGTCTTGCCGGCAGAGCTGGTAATCAGATAAGAGAGGTTTAATTGCGCATGCTGCCTTTGCAGGGCTTGTTTTGCTGCAGCGCACTGCTGCCATATGGAAGACCTTGCTTAGGATTTCTCCATGCATCCCTCCCAGTTTACTGTGCCCCACAGTACTCCGACTTGGGAGTTCAGATGACTTTTGCCAGATTTTCTGCCAATGGCTTTTATTCCTCCTTGCAATGTGCCTGGGTCAGGTTGAACAAACAGGGCTGAGATTCATGAGACCCATCCAGGCAGTCATAGCATCAGCAGAGGTGATATAGAGGAAGAGCCTGGCCCTACAGCTTGCCTACGCATTGAGTTCGTGTTCACCCACCATAAAACTCAGCATGTGCATAAATCTCTGCAGGATTCAGGGCCAGAAAAAGCAATTTATCAACCCTGACCATGAACCACACGTACAAGGAGCTGTGTGTTACAAGTTTATGATGACTGGCTTGCTCTCTGCTCCCAGCCACCAAGCAGGATTTGCTTCCCATCCACACGCCCTGAAGGGACATTTCTGACAGCAGAGGGACTCCTGGCAAGGCTAGAGATTGAGTTAGCAGAGTCCCAGGGGCCTGTTGCTGCTTTCCATCCCTGTTCTGCCGAGTTTCATTGTCATGAAAAGCGTTTACACTGCTGAATGAGCAGGCAGCTTTGGGGTGGTGGAGGTATTTGGTGTGTGGAGCTTAGTAACACCCTACTTTCTACCCATAGCATCCCACTGAGCTTTGGTCCTTGATGTGAGTAATTGCCAAAAGCATGCAAAATCCGTGTTCCCAGGGCCTGGGTTAATTAGATATTGGACTAATTCAGGAGGATACAGGAATGTGAAGCATTGCCAAGGTACCTGATGCAGTGCTGGGTTTGCATTGTGGCTGCTGTAATACTATCTCCTACTTCCCTTAGGGGCCGGTCTTTGCTCCAACCCTACTGCCTCCATCAACCAATATTTCTCTATATTTTGCTCTGATGATTATAACTGAGTTTGTTGCTGTTTTTTTTTTTTTTGTTTGTTTGTTTGTTTTGTTTTTTTTTCTGTTCTTAATAGCACTGACTGTCAGATTCATCACCAGAAGGTTCATTGGAGACTATGACCCAACACTAGGTAGGTAAATTCCTTTTCCTTGCTGCTAATGCTTCTCGAATTCCAAACTCACCGTATTCCCTTGTTTCACCTCAAGCAGACCAGCTGCAGTGGTCAGAGCCAACAGCCATTGTAGCACTTCCCTGTCTCTTGCATCTCTTTTTTTTTTTTTTTTTTTTGGCAATTGTTTTCATAAGGCAAAACCTATTTTTTTTTCCCCTACAAAAGGGAAGTAAGTTTTTCTTCTTTGGACCTTCTCTCTGCCTGCTGCTTTTTCCTTCTTGAGCTCAATAAGATGTTTGAAGGCTGGAGCACCTCTCCTATGATGAAAGGCTGAGGGAGCTAGGCTTGTTTAGCCACATACTAAAATAAAATAGAAAGCAATCCTGGGGATTCTCACTGCTGTGTTTCTCTGTCTGACTTCCTCCAGAAATGATTTACAGACACGTGGCTGTCATTGACGGGGAGATGGTGCACTTTGAGATCCTTGATACAGCAGGACAGGTGAGCTCACAGAGCTGGCTGACCCAGGATTATTGAAATTGGCCATCACTGCTCTTTCACTAGCTTTAATCTGTTATGTCTGAAATACCAGCTGAGTTGTTTATCTCCGAAAAAAAAATGTTTTGGAAACTTTATGCACTGGATTGCCAGTGAATTGGAGCAGCCCTGCTTTTCTGTACCCTCTGTGGATATGGCAGACACATCAGAGGCCTGTCTGAGCTGTGCCATCCCTACCTTGAGCACTGGGTGCAGGTTTTGGATGCCACAATGTAAGAAGGATATAAAGCTGTTAGCATCCATAGGAGGGCTACAGAGATGGGTAACAGCCTGGAGGATAAGAAGCTGAGGTTGTTTGGTTTGTTGGGCCCAGAGTGCAGGATGCTGAGGGGGCACCTAATGGTGGAGTAGTGGTCACGGCCCCAACATGCTGGAGCTTAAGGAGTGTTTGGAGACTGCTCTCAGACCTAAGGTTTGAGTGGTCCTGTGTGGAGCCAGGAGTTGGACTCTATGGTCCTTCCCTTCCAATTTAGGATACTCTATGGCTCTGTGATGTTCCAGAAACGTTTAGATGTGGTACATGGGACATGGATTAGTGGGGTAAGGGACATGGATTAGTGGGGAAATGTTGATAGCAGGTGGACAGTTGGACTGGATGATTTTGGAGGTCTTTTCCAACCTTGGTGAGTCTATGATTCTATGCCTCTGTGGTTCTGTTGCAGTCTGTATCCATCACATCTCTCAGCCCAGCAGACTCCTCTCCTGGGCTTGCTTGCTTGCTATCAATGCTATGTGAGAGCCCAGGTCGAAAGATCCTCAGAAATAATGGTGGTGGGTCCCCATGAAAGGTTTTACGGGTTGCAGTGTGTGTATTTAGAAGATGTTGGGGCTTCTCATACTAACGGCAACTTCTCTGCCCCACCAGGAGGAAGATTCCCTGCAGATAGAGGAGAAGATCAAGTGGGGCGATGGCTTTGCAGTGGTCTACTCTGTGACAGACAGGTGCAGCTTTGACGAGGTGATGCGGTTGTGTTTCCTCATCAACCACATCCACTCCAGCCCTAAGCGGAGCAGCGGGAGCGAGCAGCCGCCTGTGGTCATCGTGGCCAACAAGAAGGACTTGCAGTTTGACAGAATGGTGTCCACGCAAGAGGGTGAAAATCTTTCCAAAGCTTTGAAGCTTCCTTTCTATGAGATTTCTACTCGGGACAGCTATGAGGAGACTGTGGCAGTGTTCAATACCCTCTATCAAGAGCTCATGAGGCAGGGGCATTTTTCCCCAGGCTCCTTCAAGAGGAGGACAGTGTCGAAAGTGATGGAGAAGATCCCCAAGATGCAAGCCAGCTCCACCTTGAACTCAGCAGGCCGGAGTCTCAGCTTTAACTCTTTTAGGGACTACATCCCTGAGTGAGCATCCCTGGTGCAGAGGAACAGTACTGAAGGATGGGGCCTCCTGCTGCTGAGGCACCTGTTGTGTAGTGAGGAGCTGCTTTACTTGGGGTCGAAGAGCAGTATGTAGAGCAGGAGGGGAATGTTAAGAGGTGGCATTAGTGTTCAGCAACCTCTGAAAGCCTGGTCACTACAAACAGGCTTTGGGTCTGCAGGAAGGATGCTCTTCCTCTGTCCCACCCATCCTCCTCCTGCTTGATGTCAGCAACAAAGGTTGTTCCTATTGACTTCAGATGTGTTGTGTCAATGCTTGTGGGTCCCAATTGGCTGCACTGGGGATCAGATCCAGCACCCACACCTCCCTATGGGATTTCTGCTTCCCACAGAGAGCTCGCTGGGTCTGTCCCTGTCCCTTCTTCATGTTCCTGGGCTGGCAGGGAGGGCATGTTTTAAAGCAGAGATCTGTTTACAGTAAGGATAAAAAGTCTGCTAATCCCTGTGTTTTCTTAAAAGCTATCTTTTTAACATCTGAAGCTCCTTGATATTCTCTCCTGTAACATCACTGTAAATAAAAGCCTGGGCAAGGGGCTGTTTGCTGAGGCTGCCCTTTGTTTGTCATCTCCAGAGCTGCCAGCCTTTAAGGGGAAGCAAATTGGATGGCATCACTGCTGTGCCCTGCAACATTAGGCTTAGGTCACACTGCTCCATCCTGGGGTAATGTCCTTCCTGATGCATGCCCTTGCGCTAGAACTCAGCTCAGTGTGTGTCCTGGACACTCCCAGAGTGCAAGCAGTGGGTGTGGATACAGAGGAGTGCAAATGATTCTTAGTCCCTTATCTGCATTGTAACTGCTCCATCCCTTTAGCTGGATAAGTTGGCGGGGTTTTTATTTTGCTCAGTTTGGCTTTGTTATGGGGCAGCAAAGGAGCCAGGCTTGCATCTTTTTGCTGCTGCATCATCAGTGCCATCGAGTGTCCGCTTGCTAAGCTGCTTCTGTGCAATTTCTCTCAGATGCAGAGCTCTGCTTTGCCACCCCAGGTGAGTTTTTTGGAAGACATGTGGCGTGCCACTGGTGTGTCTCCTGAGAAGCAACTGTGTGCCACTGTACCCTGTGCCAATAAAAGCTGAATTAGCACCTGTGTGTGATGCTCTCTTGCCTGGATGTTCCCACAGGAGTGGGGAAGAGATCGTTGTACCATGCTAAAACAGGTATATCACTTTTAGGGAGAACATGGGTGGGGAATAATCCTTTGAATTGGGGGTTGGTGTCTCCTGTTGCTTTTACTCCACCTTTTTGTGTGCTCCCCCTTTGGTGGTGCAAAAAGGAAGAAGCTGGCAGAGATGAACACCCAGGATTCACAGCCTGAGGATACAACTCATGCTCCATCCCTTTCCTGCCCACATGGACACCCCTGACCCCTCGTAGCCCCGAAGATGGGCTGTGGTTGCTGGTGCTTAACCAAGTGCTTCCTCATCTGTGGTTTAACTCAGCTCTGCCTTCCTCCGTGCTTCCTTAGCTCCTTCTCAACATCTGAATTATCTCCAAAGCAGCAGCAGTGGGAAACACCTCTGGGAACTGTTTGTGGCCAGACACCTGCCTACCTTGAGAACAAAATTTGGATCTTAAATCCTTGGGGGAAGCTGGCTATGGGGAATCAAGAACTGGGATTTTTTCTCAATCACTGACCCCAAGCAATGGAGTCTGCACCCAAACCGAGCCAGGATGCTGAACACATGCTTGAGTCTTGCCCTGAGCCTGTGTGCAAAGCCAGGAACAGCATAAATCCACATTTTTCAGTATGAATTACTCAAAATAAGGAACAGGAGAGGGGCAGCTTGTGGAAAGCAGGGACCAGCATGCATGTGCTTCCCCTGGGAGCAGAGCACAACAGGGATCGCTGTCCCGAGCTGACCCCAGTGCATCACTATGTTGCCAGGAATCCAGGCAGAGTGTTTGGCCAAAGCCTCAGTGCACTTAGTGCTTGCAAGTCAGTCTCTTTGTGAAGACCAAGAGGCTGTTTGGCCTGCTATAATTAGCAAGAAACCTCATTTATTCAACTGCTCTGAGAGGCCAGTGGGGGCTTGTTAGGGCTAATTGCTGAAAGTCTTGAGGGGCTCCTCATAAGAACCCAATGAGCTCCTGCTGAAGATTCTGGTCGGTCTTGGAGGAGTTTCCCCCCTTTGGTGCAGTGTTGGGAGGGTGGCCTCTCCATGGGACGGTCCTCTCCATGGGGACCTGAGGGTTGAAGGTGTTCTTGGGAAGATTTCAGTAGGGCAACCCCATAGATCCTAAATCCATTTGCAGAGGCTTGGGTACTGGGAAGAAGAAGAAGGTCTCATGCTTTCCTTGGAGCGTGTTCTTCACACTCTGGAGGCTCAGGGAGGAAGACTTCAAGCCATGTTAGTGGCAGACTTTAGGGCTGTTTAATAGCACAAGGGAGAAAACAGGGATGAATGGAGCTGGGGTGTCCCATGCAGACGCTCTGGGCAAATTATCCCATGCTTTCCTGTTCTGCTGGAAAATGTCAGCTTTCTGGGGACAAGTGCACCTGGGGCCTGTCAGTCCTTCCAGCCTGATGTCAGGGCTGGGATGGGAACCTGATGGCTGGGCCCCACAGCCAGAAGCTGAAGAGCTTGGGTCTAATCACCCAAAAGGCATTTACAGGGCAGCGATTCAACTTTGTGAGCGCGTAAGCTGCAAATCTGCTTACCAGATTTCTGGGAAGCTTGGAAGAGGTGAATTAAATGAAAGCGCTCTTTGTAAATGCTCCTTTCCCTCCCATTCACCAAAAGCATCGCCCAAGCTGTCCTGCAGTGATCCCTTTGTGCTTTCTGAAATGCCTCCTGAAAAAGCAAGATGCAACGATTGGTACGTCTTATTTAATTACCCTACATTGCGCTTGGGTTGAGCAAGGTGTGTTCTGCATCCCTACTCTGGATCCTTATGGTACCTGCTCCTCTTATTGTGCTCCTCGTGTGAGGAGCTGTGGTCAGAAAGATGAAGCTGTGCTTACGTGGGTGTGGAAAGGCTGTTTTCTACAGGGGGTCCCATGGTGGAGAAGCTGCTTTCTTTCCTTTTGCTGCTCACTATTTGTCATCAACCTTGTGCTAAATAAATGAAATAAACAGAAGGCTTGGATTTATTCTTTCGAGGTCTTTCAGAAGTGTATCTATGGCTTTACTTGGAAAAGAGTTTTGTTGCACCACTGCATCTCCAAACTGTATCCCAGAGATAATGGGGAGCGTGAAGCTGGTGGTGGCCCCTTCAGGCACCTGGAATAAATGCAGCACCTCTAAAGGATTGCTTTGATTTCTGCTCAGAGCTAACAGAGCTGCTTGAGATTCGGATTTTCCAAGTTTCCAGGCTTTACAAGGTTCAGTTTGGGGGTTTTGGGTGCTCTGGTTTGGGAGATTTGGATGCAGTGGTTTGGGGTGCAGGAGGGAGAGTGGTTTGGGGTGCAGGAGGGATGGTTTCTCTCCAGTGCAAAGGGGTTAAAATAAATAAATTAAAAATAAAAGTGAGACAATAGTCCAGAGCAGTTGTTTCCAAATGCTGCTGCTATTTATATGCCCACATCCTCCATGTGGGTCCTGCTGCTTGGTTTATTGCCATTATAAATAGCTGCTGTGTTGCTGGAGAGCTCGGGGAAAGTCAGGACTGCTTTCCAGGGGAGAAATCTGGGGCTGAGGATAGGGGTTTTCAGCCATCAGATAAACTATATCACTCTTTGCTTCCTTCACTTCTTGATTCTCTTTAAACTGTTCATCAGCTCTGCTAACGTTCTCCGAAGGCAGAGAGATGCTCAGTGCAGCTGAAGGCTTTTGCTGTCACTGCAAGGAAAGTCTGGGAACTGCAAGGGGAAGAAAAGCAAAAGGAAAAACCCATATAGAGCATCAGGTTGCATCTGCCTGTGTCTGACTTTTGGGGCATTCTGGACAGGTTAGGATAGCAAATGATAGGTACTGAGCTGAGGTCAGGAGGATGAGTACAGCTGAACAGTCCAGCTTTGGGCATCTTCCTTGTGCTCATCCCTATGCATTGTGTATAGTTTTTCTGGGGGGTTAAAAAAAGCAGAGTTTGGGTTGTAGGCACTCCAGTAGTGGGTGATGTGTTCTCCCTGCTAGGGAACATCAGGGAGAGAAGCCAAGTCCTGGAGACGCTCTGCTGCTCCCATCGTTCTTTTGTCCCTGGCAAGCCCCAAATTCTCTCTCTCTATATTTTTAAAGAAAAACAATAAAAAGAATAACCCATCATTGCTAGTGTGGACTGGGAGTGTTGCTGAGAAGCTATGGCTGTCATCGCTTGGAGCTTTGGGGCTGTGTGAAAATATTGATGCTAAGGGCTGGTCCTGGGACCTATGGGCAGAGTCCCACAGTTCTCTTGTTTTTCCAGCCTGGAGCATAACAACAGAGTTTTTAAAAAGGATGCTGTATGCAATCTATGGGCATCAGCAGCAATGGGAACTGTGTTCCCTCCATGCTCCAAGGGTTTGCAAAGCAAATCCCTCAAGACCTCTGTCAACCAGAACCTTGGGAAAGCCCCAAAGGAAAAGAGAAAATGGGTGATTTTGCATTGTTTTGGTGTCTTCTTACTATTGCCACACACTGTTGCATGCTTTTGAGTCTGTGCAAGTTTGGTGACAAGCAATGGGATGAGCAGAGCATGGCTTCATGTGCTCGGCCCCACTGCCACTTCCCCCTAAGGAAGTGCAAACCCCTTTTTAAATCTGTGGAAGTGGGGAAAAGTGGCTCTGTTTTGGGGAGGAGACTGGAAGCCATGTAAGATCATGCAGCAGGGTGGGTTGGCTGGATGGAAACCAGGTGAACTGCCCAAAATATTGTTGTTTTTTTTTTTTCTCATGCAAGCAGTCAAGGATAAGTGATTTTTCTTGGCAATGTGAGAAAAATGTTTGGGATGGGCTAAGAAAGAAAAACACAGAAGTAGGGCTTTGAGCTGTCTGCAGGATCTGGAGTGCACTTAAGTTTGGAATAGGATCATTGAGTTGCTTAGGTTGGAAGGGATCTTGAGAATAACCCAGTGTCACTCCTCCTGCTGTGGGCTGACTACCATCCACCAGATCATGCTGTCCAGGATCCCATCCAACCTGGCCTTCAGCATGTCCAGGGATAGGGCATCCACAGCCTAGGATGAATGGGAAAACTTCCCAAAATTATTGCTTCTACCCTAAAGATGCTGATGGGAGAGTGGGAAGAGGGTTCAGTCCAAGCCCCTGTGGGCAGGATGCTTGGGGTTGGCAAAACATTCTCTAGCAGGGTGGTGTGGAGGGAAAGCTGCTTTTTAAGAAAAGCTTTTTAAAATAAACTCAAGCATCAGCATTTTACTGGGGTACAGCCACTGAGCGTTGCTACCACTGTGCTAGCAGCATCCCCTGGGTTTGTTGTGCACAATTCCTCTAATCCACCCTTGGAGCCCTTTGCTGTCCTGTGGCTGCTGGGATTTAACAGTGTGCCATGTGAGAGAGCTTTTCCTCAAGCTCATCTTGCTGCCAAAGATTTCATCAGACCCCCTCCCAGCCCTGTGGGTGCCAAGAAACTAGGAATCGTTGATGCTGTGCTGCTTTTCTGAAATTTTGCAGCATTGTGCCTCTGTCCTATGGGCTGAGTTATGTGGTGGGTTGATATTTTTCTATGCTTTTCCCTGTATTTTAACCAGCTCTCAGCACACAACTTTGATGGATTATTTTTTTTTTCCTCTTAGTTGTCTCCAGCTCCTCCCAGAAATCCCAGTGAGCTCCAGCTGAGAGAACTGTGCCCTCTTCTCTCAGCACTTGATACCCATCTCCATTACTTTGCCACCCTCCTCTTCATCATGGATCCAACCCTTTCTCCATGCTTAGGAGCCCGAGTCAGCAGCTGGGAGATGCTTCTCCTCATACAATCAACACGCTTTCCCCACCTCCCGTGTTGGGTATTGCCCATAGTGGAAATAAAAATTAATTCTGGAGCCACGCATTGGGGAAAAACCCATCAAGCGCTTTTTAGGTGACAACGAAAGATTTTCAACAAAAGATTTTCTCAATGACCATTCTGAGAACCTCTTGAAGAGCAGAATTTCCTGGGGTGAGTAATGCTGTTGTCTTTGGGTCAAGGCATTGGAGTTGTTGGGTTATTTCTTAGAATCATAGAATCATTGGGAAATTGGGAAAGACCATTCAGTCCGACCATCAACCCACTACCATTATGTGGTGGGTTACTATGTTGCTCTGTGCCACAACTGCCCTTTTCTCTTTTCTTTATGCAAAATGGGGAAACTCTTTGATTTTTTTTTTTTTTCAGCTGGGCAATATTGTTTGTAAATCCCAGTTATTCCCTATTTGCCCATAAGCTGTAGGGACTGATGGGATGAGTGCATAGGGCATAGGATGAGTGCTTTAAGGGCAAGTAGCTCTCTGAACCTTGAGCATGTCCAAAGTATAAGAAACAGGAGGGAAAATCTCCAAAATAATAATAATAAAAGCCAAATCAGCATAGAATCAGCAGAATGGGGAGGCTTGGCAACTGCACTGTAGATTCACAGATATATAATAAGGGCTTATCCAGTGCCACCTTAATAACTTGGTTAAAATACAGCAAAGAAACAAAATTTTATGGTTATTTCCATATAAGTCAATGCTTTAAAAAAAAAAATCAGAAAATTCCTCAGCTCTGTTGCTAATGTAAGAAACCTGTGGGGGCCTGGGGAGGGAGGCAGTGAGCCATCCCAGCTTAGATAACGCACTGGCTTTGCTTGGATCAAATTGCTGGGGCTATAAAGGTCTCTGACGTGGCTGCGGGACTGGGAGGAACAGTTCTGCTTGGAAAGAGAATCAAGAGCCTCTACCCTGTGCCACGACAGCCAAATTTCAGGGTGAGGCGCTAGGTCGGTGGTGGTTATGCTTGGGTGCTGCTGCAGCATCTTTTAGGTAAGAGATGCAGCTGTGCCTTTCTGGAGGGGGGGGGTACAAAGGGATGTGGTGGAGGTAGCATGTGGTCTCTAACAGGAATAGCAGAGCAGTGAAATCTGTGTTATTGACCCCAAAAGGCAGCAGAGCGGGTGGAGAGAGGCAGGCAAAGGGAGTAAGTTGGTGTCACCCCAAAAGGTTGTTGCCACCCATGTCCCTGTGCCCATTTTGAGCACAGGATGCCCCATCCTCATGCAAGGGCTCAGCTAACACTGCCAGACTTTGCACTGTGCATTCACCAAATACTTCTTCAAGCAAGGGGAAATGAGGATGGAAAGCTGGTGTCACGTTACAGGGTCACCTTTCCCAACCCCACTACTCCAAACACCCTGCAAGACTTTTTCAGCACCTCTTTGCAATTTGCAGCCCTTCCACAAGAAAAGCTGCGAGGGGCCCTTCCTTCCCACTTGGAATTTTAACTCCTTGCATTCTTTCAGAGCAATCCAAGGTTTCAGTGGAGGGTGGGGGAGGAGGAATTCCTTCTTGTGCTGTTGCAGGGGAAAGGAGAGCAAGAGGAAAGCGGAGCGTCTCGGAGCATCCTGCAGCAGTGCGCCATGCCCATCGCTCGCCCCACTGGCCGCATCCCCGAAGCTGCTTGGACTTCTGGCATCAGAGAGCTAACAGAGCCCTGGAAAGGTGCTTTGGGCTGCCTCGGCGTGGCTGTCTTCTTCGCCATGACTATCGGCATCATCTCCTGGCAGGCCTTGGAGCAGCCCCTGGAGGAGTGGATGCTGCGAGGCCAGGCAAGTGGGATGCTGTGGGATCGCCGCCATGGTGCCCTGATCCTGCGGGCGCTGCCGATGGGACGGCCACTGGTGTCCATCACAGTGGGTAGCGTGCCAGCCTCAGAGCTACCTCCACCGCGGGATCGGTGCTGGCAGGACAGCACAGAGTTCTGCTATGCATGGGAGGAGGAGGCCGAGCTCCACATCTCGCTCCAACCCACCCCAGCCCCTGGCACCGAGTGCTATAGTGTCCGTTGGACCCCGCTGCGCCCCGATGTGGTGCTGAAGGTAATGGGGAGCTCCTTTGGGGCAAAATGAGCTGGTTTGGGCCAAAATGCAGCATTTGGCAGTCTGGTTGTACTTTATCTCGAGGAGTTGGAAGGTGTGGGTGTGGAAAATCCCATTTCTGATTCCCTGTGCACCCCCTGTATCCACAGTGCTGCTTTCTCCCGGTGCTTCATGAATAATCACAGGCTGGTTATATGGAGACCAGATAAATAATAATTGGAGCACACAGTGGCGGAAGAAACAAGGAACAGCCCAAGAGAGTCCCTGCCAATCCCAGGCGCAGCCACTGGATGAAAATGCTGGGATGAAAATGTATGGGAATTTTCTTTGGGATATTTTTTCCCTCTATGGGGTATTTCTATTCTTTAAAGCCCCAAATTGTTTCTTGGCATAGTTTCATGACAATGGATGGCATTATCTGAGAGCAACCACTTTGTTAATTAATGTTAGTTTATAGGTGCTCAAGGGGATGAGCAAGAATAGATTTATTTTTTTTCCCCTCAATTTTAATTTCAAAAAATGTTTTGGAAGATTATCTGGAGGAAAGTTAAGTGTTAAGAGTGAGTTTACTTTTTTCTCCCCCCCACTACCCAGCTGGTGCAACTGGTTCAACTGACACCCTGTGCAGCTATTCTGGGCCTCCAGCATTTCCACTTGAATAATTTACATCTCCACTCCCCACCCCTTGGTCAGGCTTAACCTCCCGCTGCCCCCGCAGCAGCAGTAGGCTTTGGGCAGTGTTGGGGCCCTATGGGATGTAAGGAGACCACCTCCACCCACCCCAACCTCCCCCAGATTTCTGGGAGCTCATCTCCACGTGCCAAGTCACACGATTGGCTAAGTCCTGCTGATCCCTCTCTTTGGCAGGGAAGGGAAACTCTCAGAGGCTTTGAAGCACTGGACATCACACAACAGCACGTTTTTCAGAAATTTTCTTTTTTTTTCCTCTTTTTTCTCTTTTTTCTTTTTTTCTTTTTTTTCTTTTTTTTTAATAACTAAAACAATTTTTGGCTTAGAGTTTGTGTTCCCCTGCCCAGACGTGTTGAATGCAGATGTATTCAGATGTAATGGGGGTAGGATGGATGAACAGCAGTCTTCCACATTCCTCTTCAAAGGAATGAGTCTGGGAGGTTGGACTCGATGATCTCTGGAGGTCCCTTCCACCCCTACAATTCTGTGATTCTGTGATTCTGTGATTGTGGTCTTTAATGTCTATAACTTTAAGTTTGGATTTAAACTGGGTGCAATTTCTTTCCCACTACATTTGATCCCTTTAATCAACCCACATCCTACAAAAGCACTTATGCAGAATTTCATTAATTTTTCTTCCTAAAAGCCCAACTCTTCTGCCTAAGTAGGAAAAGCTTAAAGCTTCTAGCAGGTCATGCACAGAAAGCAAAAAGTAATTGAGTGTAAAACCCCAAAGTCTATGGGTTTGGAGTTGTTCTTCCTGAAAAAGATGAGGTTATGACATGAGCATGTATCTCTCCTGCTGCAGGATTGCTTCTCCATGGTCAATGTCTCATGGTATGGAGGTGCGAGCCTCTGTGCCCAGCGCTGGCCCCTCAACGGTGCTGAGAGCCCTGAGCAGCCCTTTGTCAGTGGAGATTTCAGCAAAAACCCCACTGGGTACGGCCCTGTGCTGGAGAGATACTTCTTAGGATCAACAGGTATTTGCTGTTTGATTTCCTATGGATTTAATCTCTGCGTCTTTCCATCCATCCATGCATTTATAAAGCAATTAAAGAGCTGGATTTGTATCCCACAGACTAAATATTTTAGAATCTAACTAGTAACTAGTAGTAACTAGTGGCAGCAGGATTGAAGGGATGGATCCCAATCCTTATGGGAGAATTGAGATGTTGAACCAATGCTGTTTTCACAACTCATAGGATCATGAAGGTTAGAAAAGACCTCTAAGAACCTCAAGTCCAACCCCAACACACCCCCACTATACCCACTGATCATATCCCTCAGAGCCATCTCTTCATGGTTCTAGAATACTCCTAGGGATGGTAACTTCACCACTTTCCTCAGCAGCCTGTGCCAGTGATTCCAGAAAGCCCCCCAGGGGGATTTTGGCACAGTACAGTGTCTATTGCTGTGTTCTGAGCATGCATTTAGGATTCTGGATGTGGACTGCCATTGTCCATTGGATAAGGCTGCCATTGTCAACTTGGGTGGATATTTGGATTGTTCCACAGCGTGCCAAACTTCAGATACCATCCAAAATCATTTGCTCTGCATTTGATCATTTTAGGAAAAGAGAACCCAAGTGCATGAGCTGAATACAGAGAGAAAAGGCCAGAAATGCAGCACATCCAAATGAATAAAAGAGGCTATAAAGGAGAAATGGAGAGTTGGGTTTTCTTGCTTAACTGGAGCTGCTCTATGGCCACTGATGAAAAGATACTCAACTATTTTCCCCTCTTTTGACCCCGAAGGAGTGACAGTGACAGTGGCACCTGATGTGTCCCTGGTCCTCTCGCTGGAGAGCCATTGGCATTTCTGCCTGGGAGGAGCTGGAGGCCCCCTGCACTACGTCCTCTGCATCAGCCCCAACATCACGACTGCACACCGGCACATGGGCACCCAGCTGGCAGGGCCAACACGGGCATTGCCTGATACAACCCTGCTGTGGTAAGACATTCCCTCTGCCTATGGTACTGGGTTGCTTTCCAAGCTTAAATTATCACAAATCTCCATTTTGCTGCTTTTTCTCACCCACTTAATTTTGTGTGACTCTTTTGCTGTGTCCTTTGCTAGCCCAAGGTGCAGACTCCATGTGTTCTTCATCCCACAGGTCTCCTATCTGGCAGTATGATGATCCAGTGGGTTCTGCTGCCAAAATTAAGCGGGGTCTGAGGTCGCTGGCCAGGAGACTGAAGCGGCATCGCATGCAAGAGGGAGTCCTGGCCCTGGGGGAGCATGGCACTGCTGCACTTGCCACCATGGTACATCCCATCCCACCAGCCCCTGTGCGTTGAATGCCCCCAGAATAATTTGAAATCCTTCTGAAATGCAAATCATTTGGTTGGGTGGGAGATAGATTTATTGAGCATCCTTTCTTAATGATGGAAAGCTTGGTTTGGGGTTTTACCCGTGGAGGATGGTCACGAGTAGTGTCCCCAAGGGAAATCCCAACAATCTGTCTTGGGACCACTGCACTTTGATGTCTTTATCAACAACATAGACAGTGGGATTGAGTGTACCCTCAGCAAGTTTGCTGATGACATGAACATGAGTGGAATGGTCAGTAGAATAGAAGGAAAGGATGCCATCCAGAGGGACCTGTACAGGTTAAAAAATAGGCACATTAGAACCTAGTGAGGTCTAGCCCCCATGGAAGGGGGCTTAGAGTACAATGATCTTTAAGGTCCCTTCCAACCACAGTGGTTCACTGGGCCTGTGGTTGGTTTGGGGTTTTACTCCAAGAAATGGTACTGCTGACCTCGATGGCTTTGCCATTTCCACAAAACAAATTTTTCCTTTTTAACTCCCTTCAGGATCACGTGCCTGTAGAGCGAAGGAAGAGGCATGGCACACCCCATGTCTGGGACCCAGCAATGATCTTCCCGCTGCGGCTCTCCATCACTCTGTCCCCCTACGCCAGCATCGCTGCCCCACTCTTCCTGCACTTGCTGCGGGATGGTGAGACCGGCTACTGGCTGAGCCTGCAGCCCCGCTATGGGGGCTGCTCGGTATGGTACCCAGCACCTCTATTTTGTTTTATTTTTAATGACCCACCAGTTTGCTATTCAACTGGGAACCCCGTGGGGAAAAATTTTTCACTTCTATGCACTGCATCAATGCAAGCTGTGGTGTCAGCCCCTCTCCAGCCTTGCATCCCACATTTTTTTTTTGATGTTTTAAGGGTCTGACTGATATTCCTCACCATTTGCTGCAGATCCCGTTGCTGACAACATGGAAGGGACAGCTTTGTGCCCGCCTGAACATCACCAACGAGGCAGCACTGAGCTGGTACTTGTCCCGTGCCCGGGGCCTACGGCACAAGTTGGGTGCCAAGTACATGATCTTTGAGGGAGCTGAGGGTAATGCCTTCCTGGAGCAAGCTATGTCCCCTCCTGCTGAGCTGGCTGGTGACCAATACGCTGAGATGCTCGCAGCAGCACTGGTGACACTAGGGAATGCCACTGTCATCAGCGTCGGTGCCAGGTGGGTTGTAATGAGAAGATGCTCAGGAAAGCATCAAGGTGATTCTCCTGTCTCTTTGCTTCTTTTTTTT